GACAGAGATTTGTCCTGACTGTGGGCAAGGCTGGAAAACTCAAGCTACAGCCATGGGATCAGAAGGCCCTCCAAGCCACAGCCTGAGTGGCCAGTGGGGCACTGACCTGGGAGCCATAGGGCTTCAGACAATAATTAAAATATCAGCAGATTCATGTGCAGCCGCTAAGACAATAGAAAAATATCATTTGGTACCCCATGTGGTGCACGACCATGAGGACAAAGAAGTCATGCCAGCCATCACAGCAGTCTCTCTGTGAGCAGTCAGCTACCACTCATGGGACTCCAAAAAGTGGGCTCATACTTGGAAATTACAGGAGGGGCTTGAGACTTCCACTGAGGGTGCTGTTGCTGCGGACAAACTGAAAAGTCAGCATATTTGGTGAGAAAACTGGGAAGTCCTTAAGGAGAGACTTAAATAATACTAAAAAGAAATTCTTTCCTGTGTTAAGAATTGGGAATATCGGGCTGGAGAGATGGCTCAGAGGTTAAGAACACTGGCTGTTCTTCCAGAGGTCCTGAGTTCAATTCCCAGCACCCACATGGTGGCTGAAAACCATCTGTAATGAGATCGGGCTCCCTCTTCTGGCCTGCGGGGATACATACAAACAGAACACTGTATACATAATAAATAAATAAATCTTAAAAAAAAAAAAAAAGAATTGGGAATATCACAATTCAGGGAGTTAGGACTCTGTATAATGCTACTATGGATGGCTTGCAAATGGAAAAAATAAATGAAGGGATAAACCACTTAGCTGGGATTAACATAATGACAATTGTAATTACTATTTGTTTGGCAATTCATATTTTATCCTTAACAAAGTGGTTTGATAACTGTGCCAAATATGAAAATTTGACTGATAAGATACAAGACTTAAAAAGACTTACTATTAATAAGATACAAGCTTTAAAAAGACTTACTACTGCTAAGATACAAGTCTTAGAAAGATCTACTAATGAAAATAAGAAAAATACTCAGACACAAAGGACTTTAGACAAGAACCTACCTCACCACTGCATGATGAAACTGAAGAGGGGTGGCCAAAGGTTATTAGAAAACCAACCTTAGCTTATCCAGTTACTATACAAGAATGACCATCAGACAATAGGCATCCCAAGGTTATGTAGAAGTTAAATGGAATCCTATAGAAATGTTAGATTTGAGGAGATTTAAAGAAGCAGTCTTTTCATATGGTATACATTCACCCTTTGTGAAGTAGATGTTAAATTCATGGGCAACTTAGAACAGAATTATCCCTCAAGACTGGAAAGATTTAGCTATAAGGGAAGCTGGTCCTCAGTTACAATGGAAAACATGGTTGAAAGAGGAAGCTAAGGTCATAAAACAATGAAACAGCGCTAGAGGTATTGATATTTCCCAAGATCAGCTTTATGGTGAAAGCCAATATGCTGAATTGCAAAGACAGTTTATATATATCATACCTTGGCTGTATGTCATTTAGAAGCTTTAAATGGAATGCTTGGTACAGAGCTGAAGAATCAGGAAAGAGGACTGAGTGATTTACTAAAATTATATAAGGCCTAAAAGAAGGCTTCACTGATTTTTTTTTTAAACAAAGATTAACATTGGGGGACAAAGAGATGGCTTATTGGTCGAGAGTACTGACTGATCTTCCAAAGAACCCAGGTTCAATTCCCAGCACCCACATGGTAGCTTATAACTATCTGTAACTCCAGGATCCAACACTCTCACACAGATATACATACAGCCAAAACACCAATTAAAAAAAAGATTGACTTCAGCTCTAAATAGAACAGTATCAGATCCAGAAGTCAGACAAATATTAATTGGATCTTTGGCTTTTGAAAGTGCTAATTCAGAATATAAATTTTCTAATCCATTCATCTCACAATATGATACTGCTTTGATAAAAGTAATTTCTAGAAATTTTAAGAAAAATCAACATGTCAGATGTTTTAATTGTGGCAAACAAGGTCATTTGAAAAGGGATTGTATGGACGGGCAGTGGTGGCGCACGCCTTTAATCCCAGCACTCAGGAGGCAGAGCCAGGTGGATCTCTGTGAGTTCGAGGCCAGCCTGGGCTACCAAGTGA